TGAACATAATAGCAAAGGCAATGAGCATCACTGCGATAGAACAAGGATGGAATATTTGCCTCTGCATAGAGGCTCTCGACTGGCAAAAAGCGAAAAGCACCGAGGCATAATCTTAATCCCTGGTGATGGATGGGATTAAGGCTCGAGTTGTAGAAGAGGCTGCTGAATATATCTGGTTGCCATAGTTTCTGTAAAATTAGGGCTGAATGTAGTTGGAGTTCTACGACCAGCCCTCCCATGAAAGATGAGCTAGGGTTTTAAGGAGGTTCAACTGGCTATGGCAAATTGCCTTCAGAGGTAATGAGAGGTTTCCAGGATAACCTACGGTCAAACAGAAGGCCGAGAAACCTAACCGTATCACATTCTGGGATATGCAAACCATATAGGTACAGTGGATGATCAGGCGACAGAGCGTCGAGTGAAAGTAATTTGGAGAGTTTTAGTAACAAAATTTAAACCCATGAGTGGTGGTTATGTCACTTAGAGATGGGGGGGAAAAAAAAAGGGGGGGGTGGGGGCAGGGACATGGAGGAATAACTCCTAGGAGGCAAAAAAGGGGTTATAAACCCCCCATCTCCACACCCAAGAGGAACCTAGCACAGCAAGTAGTGCAGAGGCAGCATGGAACCTGTGCTGTGCCATACCCTACCCTTCATGCCAGATGTGAGGTTGCAACCTGGGATAGCAACCCCACATCTGCTGAGCCACCTCAGTGGACAAAATAGGGCGGCCGGACACCCACCACCCCCTGGGATCCGACAGGCAGCCTCCAGAGATACACTAGTCTCCCAAAAGATACCCAAAGCCACCCCCCGGGAGACCAGAAAGGGATCGGGACACCTCTAGGTGATTCACATTCCATGGCAAACTACTACACCAAGGACCTCAGTAGAATGGAATGGATCCCGGTACCCTTTCTCCACCTAGGAATTAGTGCCTTTGGGAAGAATCCCAAAGGCTGAAAAAAAGGGAGGGATGGGGAGGAAAGGGAGAAAGGGGGAATGGAGAGGCTGGGATTGGGAAGGGAGGATTGGAGGTAATTAGGTTCAGTTTGAGGAAGGAGACCCAAAGTTCTAATTTCTCAGACCAAGACCCTCTTCACCACACCAAGGAGCCCCCTGGAAGAGGATGCATCGATTATAAAATATTTAAATCTAAAGTTTTTTATCTTCACACATTCCTTACCTGGAACAATGCCTCTATTTGCAGTCAGATGTCGTCCTTGCAAGGGCGTGTAAGCGAGTGTGACAGCACTGCTCACACATGGTATAGCAGAGTTGCACTCTGTTAATTTGGGAGGCATAGGATTTACATAAGCAAATGATGATTGAGAAGTATTTAAAGCCTTTTCTGAAGCACTCAGTTCCTTAATCTTTCCTTCCAAGAAAATTTTCTGACACTTTTCTTTTATTTCTAGTATCTTTACTTTCTGTGATGGCGGTAAACAATCAAGCTCCAAGGCACGATCGATGTCATTAAAACATTTTTCATACTGCTCCATATCAAACAGTAAAACAGACCGAGACATGTAGGCTTGTGCCAAATCTCCGTACACATTACCAAGCACTCTGGTATTGTCTTTATCAAAAGATGAATTTCCTGTCATAATAGCTGGATGTGGGGCAGATACTATAGCTAAATTATACAATTTTAATGCCTTATCTAAATTACCAAGCTTGTGGGCAATGTCTCCCTGTCTACAATACACACAAGATGCATCTTTTGACTTGCTTGAAGGAAGCAAAGCTGGTGTCAGAAACCTATGAGCTTCATCCAGACTCCAAATATAGGAAAACATTTCTTCTGCGGTACGATTTGGTTTCATATAAGCCAGTGCTGCCATGAACTTTCTATTTTTAACCAACTCATTTAAAAAAAGTTTTTCCAAATCTTCATAACTCTGTGCATAATCCATAATGGTGTTTTAAGACTGATGATCACCACTTCCCTGAAATAGGAAAATAAATGCACTACCTTTAAGAAATGTTAATTCTTTATAAATTAAATGGTTAATACATGGCAAGTCAAAGAGGTTAGTCAACAAACTTAAAACTTACCTTCGTAGTTTTCACTATATAACTCGCTATATATAGCCTTCACAGAGTGAAACGTCACTAATAAGGGTTAGTTGTGCGTGATTTTCTACTTGTTGGCCTACTGTTTATCTTTCAAACTTTCTCTAGAATTTACTTTAACCCTTTCAGGGTTGGCAGGCCCTCCCCTAAACTTGTTCTCAGGGTCGGAAATTTTTGGGGGGAGAAAAAAAATTATAATCTTTTTCCGACCATAATGACACCAAAAGTACGAAATTAGAATGGAAAACTCACGGAATTATGCTCTTGCAAGGTTAGCGGTCTCAACGATGTTTACACATTGGCAGCATTGCCCACTGAGCCCTATTTTCAGCCAATTCCAGTGTACCAGTCGGCAAAAATCAACTACTTTGCTAGAACTTCATTTTTTTCTATCAAATGAGTACAAGAAACCACCCATTTATCGATTCCAACTATCCAATAAAGTGGTCAGAAATTGGCAACTTTGCCAATTTCACAAATTTCAAAAGATGCCAATTTCCAAATAGGGCCCAGAATAAACAAGACAGACATTCCCGGCACTAAAATAACTGTTCATTAGTCACTTTCCCAGGCCTTTTACATTTTATTTGCTTTCCACTTTGAATTTTTATCAAAAAAAAAAAAAAAAAAAAAATTATTATGCAGACTACTGCATTAGTGTATAAGTGGTATAAATAATATCAGCGCACTTTTGAAAGAATATTAGACTAGCTAGTTGACGTGTATTGGACACGTGGCACGATTTGTTTACTTTTGAGCTGCAAAAATCGAACATTTCTGCTACTTTGAGCTCAATTTCAAGGTACAGTGGACCCCCGACATTCGATGGCATCGATATTCGATGCATTTTAGTGCAAAAATTTTGCCTCGACATTTGATGGAAAACCCGACATTCCAGACGATTCATACGAGACGTGTCCACGTGTGGCCTGAACTGCCCAGTGTTTACAAGCCAGCCAGTGTGCACGCATCTGAGGATACATTCGGTACATTCCATATCACTGTTTTTGGTGCTTGTTTCTGCAAAATACGTAACCATGGGCCCCAAGAAAGCTTCTAGTGCCAACCCTTTGAGAAAAAAGGTGCTAATGACTATTGAAATGGAGAGAGATAATTGCAAAGTACGAAAGTGGAGTGCGCGCGTGTGAGTGCATGATGATTTGGTAAAGAAATTGCCTGCAACTAGTGATGTAAGTGAAGTTAAGGCCAGCAAAGGTTGGTTGGAAAGATTTAAGAATCGTAGTGGCATAGCATGGTGAGGCTGCCAGTTCAAGTCCTAATGGAAGGGGATTCCCCTTCTAAACACTAACACCATCCACACACTCCCCTCCTCCCATCCCACCAATCATCACCAGATCTTCATTAACCCCTTCAGGGTCCAAGGCCAAAATCTGAAGTGGTGCTCCAGTGTCCCAAGAAATTTTGAGAAGGGGAAAAAAAAAAAAAAAAAAAAAATTACAGAATTAAAGAGTATATTTTTGTGAAGGTAATAAGACAAAAAAAAAGTTTTTTCTGATCAGTACTTACCGAGATACAGCGGTGGGAAGTTGACCCAAAATGACCGGGTGGCGGCAACATCGGTGACTTCCGCAAAATCCCATTTTTTTATTTTATGTTTTTTATACTTTTTCCTAATTTTTTTTTTCTAACAACATTTGTGGCCTGTGAGACCAATATAATGTACATTGTATATGTGTACACTCATTGTATTCAACACAATAACTGCACTAATTTGTTCATTATATTGCTTACAAAACTTGTTTACAAGTTTATTGTAAACAATGAAAATATTAGTGCGGTTGTGTTGAATACAACGGTACCATATAGTACCATATGGTACAATGGTGCCATAGGGTGCAATGGTACCATATGGTACATGGTACAATGGCACATGATACAATGGTACCATATAGTACCATATGGTACAATGGTGCCATAGCATGCAATGGTACCATATGGTACAATGACACCTTATACAATGGTACCATATGGTACAATGGCACATGATACAATGGTGCCATAGGGTGCAATGGTACCATATGGTACATGGTACAATGGCACATGATACAATGGTACCATATAGTACCATATGGTACAATGGTGCCATAGCATGCAATGGTACCATAGGGTACAATGGCATCATATGATAGTGGCACCATATGGTACAATATGGCACAATGGCACATGATACAATGGTACCATATGGTAGAATGGCACCATTTGGTACAATGGTACCATATGATACAATGGTACCATATGATACAATGGTACCATATGGTGCAATGGTACCTTATGGTACCATATGATGCAATGGTACCATATGGTACACTGTACCATACAATACAATGATGCCATATGGTTCATTGTACCATATGGTACTGCTGTATTCAAAACACACTAATATTTTCATTATTATTTTGTTTACAGTTGTTTACAATAAAAATATGCAAAAATGTTGTATATTAGTAATGTTCTATCATATATTTACAAGTGTACAGGAACTTTACGTGTTCCTTGAGGTGGATGACGAAGCACTTTGTCTCAAACTGTGGAGTCACTAGCTAGCTTGGGGTCGCCACTCAGTCTTGGCTGGTGTCTCATGCCACCAACACCTCTTGGCCATACGGTACACGGCATCATATGTTACAGGGTACCATATGGTACATTGTACTATGTGGTAAAGGGTACCATGCAGTACAGGATAATATATGGTGCAGGGTACCATATGGTACAGGGTACCATACAGTACAGGACACCATATGGTACAGATACAGGGATAACTATAGAAATAAGTCACCCTGACTTTTTTGGGTTATCCTAGGATTTTATACGTATGCTATGTATAATTATGCAAATGTATTTCTGTACACCTGAATAAACTTACTCAAGTGCATGTGACATCATAAGTTTATTTAGTTATACACAAATAAAGTTACATAGATCATACTTAGCAGCACATGTTTGGAGAACCTAGGATAACCCAAAAAAGTCAGACATTTATTTCCATTAGGGTCCCTGTACCATATGGCACCATGGTACCACGTGGCACCATGGTACCACATGGCACCATGTATGGAAAATTTTCTAGGGTGTTTATCTGTATGTACCTCAACATTATATACATACAAGTAATCTCATTGGGAGACAACCATATTGTTTACCGTAGTCACCCCGTGTAGACATGTGAGAAAACTTAACCACCTCTGGTCACTACAGGTGGCCCCTTCGACCTCACAATCTTATCCATATCTATCCGAGACCAGTATGGATTGGGTAGCACCCACAAGTACGGTGCTACTAGTTAATTGTGGACTGTATAGATTATATTAGTTTAGCTGAATGAGGGGGGGGGGGGTAGGATACACATGGATACATCCATCAAGGAAAAACATTTATACATAATCCCACCACTTACCAGCTGTTCTCCGGTGGTCACTTGATGTAGCTGGATCACTCATAACCTATCTAATTACAACATAACACAACTGGCCAGCATAAGTTTGTTATAACTAGAAGTGTTACTTAACTGTGGGTGATTGATACTCCTTATTTCTTCCATTCACCATCTCATTTTCGATGTCCTGCTACACCGACACGGTTCTCATTCCGGCAGGACGAGGTATCCGTCGGTTTGTCCCGGTTTAGAAATCGTGGATCAATGAGCTTCACTTTCCCCGCCTCGGGAACAACAAGGTCTAACGTGTTCACTCGGAGCAAGGCGACTTATTTCACATCCCGCATTCTCTTAACTCAATGTTATTATCACTGATTACATTACCATTCACAAGACAATTTAACGTCTCATAACTATTATACAAATTAGAGGGCACTCCATTAAGATCTGAGGCCGATGAGCGAGGATTAACACACGGGTATTTCCCCTGGACACAGTCCATAGTGACGCGTCAGTCACCCGGTCCTACTCTTATCACACTTTTTACCACTATTACCGTGGTCCCGTAAATCGCGTTCCCTCACTCTTCACTAGGGACAGTCACGACACTTCCTATTATGAATTGAGGCCCATATCGATCCTTGGGCCCCCGTGAACGCCAGTTTCCTCCTTCCCGGTTTCCTCAGCCTCCTCACCACCTTCAAAACAATCCGCGCCTCTCTCCCCCGCACATCCGCGCATGCGCAAAGGGAACTCTTGTGGTCTACTCTATTTTCAAATACATTTTTGACTCATATCGGCACATTAAACACCTATTAGGCACTATAGTTTCGGAAAATCCAAAAAATTTTCCACACCATGGTACCATGTGGCACCATGGTACCGTGTGGCACCATGGTACCGTATGGCACCATGGTACCGTATGGCACCATGGTACCGTATGGCACCATGGTACCGTATGGCACCATGGTACCGTATGGCACCATGGTACCGTATGGCACCATGGTACCGTATGGCACAATGGTACCGTATGGCACAATGGTACCGTATGGCACAATGGTACCGTATGGCACAATGGTACCGTATGGCACAATGGTACCGTATGGCACAATGGTACCGTATGGCACAATGGTACCGTATGGCACAATGGTACCGTATGGCACAATGGTACCGTATGGCACAATGGTACCGTATGGCACAATGGTACCGTATGGCACAATGGTACCGTATGGCACAATGGTACCGTATGGCACAATGGTACCGTATGGCACAATGGTACCATATGGCACAATGGTACCATATGGCACAATGGTACCATATGGCACAATGGTACCATATGGTTCAAAACCATAGAATTCGTCTTCAGCTCCACTTCCATCAGTCTTTGAACTAAGTTGTGAAGAGGAGTCAGAATTCCCCCGGAGAGCGAGTGGGGAGTGAGAGCTTCCTTGCCGCCAGGCACTATGAACAAAGCTACTTTGCCGGCGTTCCCACAATGCCATGTGGGCGTCCAGATTTTTTTCTATGGTGTGCACACTGACCACCCAGTTGTAGGCCTACCAGCCTTCTCGAGCTAAATTTGACGGTGCTAGAATTTTGGCGTAGATCTACGGTTTGGACCCTGAACGTAAAGCCGTAGATCTACGGGACGGACCCTGAAAGGGTTAAAGGCAAGTGTCAATTATTCTATTATTGTTATTATTCTATTATTGTTATTATTCTATTATTGTTATTATTCTATTATTGTTATTCTATTATTGTTATTCTATTATTGTTATTCTATTATTGTTATTCTATTATTGTTATTGTAATTATTCTGTTACATTAAACTTAATATTTCATGGTAAATTTTTTTTTTTCATACTTTTGGGTGTCTTGCACGGATTAATTTGATTTCCATTATTTCTTATGGGGAAAATTAATTCTACTTACGATATTTTCGACATTCGATAGCTCTCAGGAACGGATTAGTATCTAATGTCGAGGGTCCACTGTACTTCTCATTGTGAAACCAATCAATATCATCTCAATCTGTAATATGTCTTCCATTTTATAAAATGAGACCAGGAAAACTAGAATACAACCATAAATAGCATATGAAAATACACTGCAAAGTCACTGTTTTAAAGCGACAGCATGGTCGGTTTTTTTCTCATTATGCACTGTGCTGCAGGATTATTTTTTATACTGTGCACACTGACCACACTCATTCCTTCATATGTAGGCCTACCAGCTTTCTCTCGCTAGATTTGAAGACGCTAGAATTTATGCGTATTAGTACGGCCCCAACCCTGAAAGGGTTAATAAACCACAGTGCCCCATGGCCTGGTGGCAAAAGCTCTCACTTCACACGGTGAGGGTTCGTGTTCGATTCCCGGTGAAGAGGGAGGAAACATTGGACACTTTTTCCCTACACTGGTTGTGTGTTCACCCATCAGTGAAATGGGTACCTGGGTGTTAGACTTGTGTGGGTCACATCCTGGGACAAAACTGACCTATTTTGCCTGAAATGCTCTACAGAACAAGCGGCTTTCTATATAGTAGAATGTCACTGATGTCAGCTATGCCTTTATACCTTGTACTTGTAGTAAATAAAGATATACAGTGGACCCCCGCTTAACGATCACCTCCCAATGCAACCAATTATGTAAGTGTATTTATGTAAGTGCGTTTGTACATGTATGTTTGGGGGTCTGAAATGGACTAATCTTCACAATATTCCTTATGGGAACAAATTCGGTCAGTACTGGCACCTGAACATACTTCTGGAATGAAAAAATATCATTAACCGGGGGTCCACTGTATTATTAGTTTATTACCTAATTAATGGTCAACCTGAACAGATGGTATAGCAGTGAATTTTGCATTCCAGGCAAAAAGTTTTCCATTAGTTGCCCCACTTTCACTTTTGCATTTAAATTCTTCATATACAATAAGAACCATATTTCATATTACAGTGGACCCTCATTTTTCGTGATTAATGCGTTCCAGAGTCTGCTGAAAGTTGAAATTCACTAATGGCAAAACCACTTCCCCCATAAGAAATGTTACTACAATTAATCCATTTCAAACACCCAAAAGCATTAACAAAATTCTTAAAGATCAAATATTAGATTTAAATACAGAAAACAATGAAATATAGAGCACTAATAAAATGGATAAATGAGGATTTAACATCACACTTGCCTTTATTGAAGACTTGGTATATGGCAGACAGGTAGGTGAGGGAGGAGTTTATTATGCTTCAATATGATGCTAATATCAACGGTTTATCTATCACAATTCATCTAGTATGACAATATTAATAAACAAACTTGATATATACTCTAGAATTAATAAAATGTCAATGTACGTGGTGGTTTATAAGGGCCACAGAGAAGCCGTACATAATGGTAGTGGAGGCGGCAGCAGAGGCCACCACTAATCACACAATGTACGTAATTAATAAATAAGAAATATTTACACTTACCTTGGAGATGTTAGTTTAATTAGTTTGATGGAAGAGATGCTGGCCTAGGTTTAGGGTGGTGGAAGATAGCAGGGCAGCACATGTTCAGTGGCCCTATACACGAAGAACATTGGAGTTACTATCGTGTCTTTCTGTCGCTTAATCACTTTACTTGCTTGCCACACTTAATGCTACACTATTGCTGGCTGGTGCCATAGCCTTCATCGATACCCGCTTCTTTTGTACTGTACATATTAGAATCCCTGAAGGAGGCACATTCTCCCCTCTTCCTCATCCACTTAGGTACTTTGCTACGAGTTTTTTCTTGAATTCTATTGTTTCTTTCCTTCTTAACCAAAGGACAGGCACTGAGCTTTCTTTGGGCCCATGGTGGCTTATTTAAGAGTTGCAAGCACAAAAAACCAATGGATTACAATGAAATATATCTTTCGAACACGTGAAGTGATGGTCACTCCCCCACAAATCATGCCACACTGAAATGTACTCACCTATTTGTGGTTGCAGGGGTCGAGTCACAGCTCCTGGCCCCGCCTCTTCGCTGATTGCTACTAGGTCCCCTCTCTCCCTGCCCCATGAGCTCTCTCATACCTCGCCTTAAAACTATGTATGGTTCCTGCCTCCACCACATCACTTTCTAGGCTATTCCATGGCCTGACTACTCTACGACTGAAGAAATACTTCTTAACATCCCTTTGATTCATCTGAGACTTCAACTTCCAATTGTGACCTCTTGTGTCTGTGTCCCATCTCTGGAACATCCCGTCTTTGTCCACCTCGTCTATTCCGCGCAGTATTTTATATGTCGTTATCATGTCTCCCCTGACCCTCCTGGCCTCCAGTGTCGTCAGGCCGATTTCCCTCAACCTTTCTTCGTAGGACAATCCCCGTAGCTCTGGGACTAGTCTTGTTGCAAACCTTTGCACTTTCTCTAATTTCTTGACGTGCTTGACTAGGTGTGGATTCCAAACTGGTGCTGCATACTCCAGTATGGGCCTGACGTAGATGGTATACAGAGTCTTAAACGAATCCTTATTGAGGTATCGGCTGCACAGATGCGTTCCGCATAACTGACGAATCACGAGGCCAATCACGAATTGCAGGGCTATATTTTGCCGAAAGAAGTTGCCAAAAGTCGGATTTCACGAAAGACGTGGCCACCGAAATGCGGGGATTCACTGTATACGTTAAAAAAAAAAAAAAGGAGTTATACGTGAAAGAATAAGAATTAGCTTTTTTGGGAAAAACCAGGTTACTTTGACACCTCTGACCAGAATTTATACCTAAATTTATATATATTAGAGCAAATTTCCTCTATTTCAACAGTACACTACTGTATAAACATTTAAAATATACCAGAAATGTTTTAAATGGTGCAAAGGTAACATTAAAACAATATCAAAGATGGTTGACAAACCCACTACCATTAAAGTATGCTCCTCACTTCGCGACGAATTCATTCAACCCTTTCAAGGCCGACAGGCCCTCAGACTTTCTCAGGGTCGCCCAAATTTAAAAAAAAAAAAAAAAAAAAAAACTTTTCCCGATCATAATGACACCAAAAGTACGAAATTTGATGGAAAACTTACGGAATTATACTCTCGTGAAGTTAGCAGTCTTGAAGATGTTTATGTATCTGCTATTTTGCCCACTTTGAGCATTTCCGGCCAATTCCACTTTGCTAGTTGACAAAAATCATGAATATTTCGCTATAACTTTTTCTATCTAACGAGTGCAAGAAACCACCCATTTACTGATTTCAACTATCCAATACAGTGGTCAGAATTTAGCAATTTTGCCAATTTCACACAAATTTCAAAAGATGCCAATTTCCAAATAGGGTCCAGAATAAACAAGAAAGACATTCCTGGTATTAAAACATTTCCTCTGTTCATTAGTCACGTCCCAACGCCCCTCTTACATTCTTTTGCTTTCCACTTGAATTTTTATTCACAAAAAATTAAAGATTTACAGTTATGCAGACTACTGCATTAGTGTAAAAAATGGTATAAATAATATCGGCGCACTTGTGAAAGAATATTAGACTCGCCAGTTGACATGTATTGGACGCTTAGCATGATTTGTTTACTTTTGAACTTCGGTAAAAATCGAACATTTGTGCTATTTTGAGCTCAATTTCAAGGTACTTTTCATTGTAAAATCAGTCAAAATCATCTCCATTTCTGTAACATGTCTTCTATTCTATAGAACGAGACTAGGAAAACTAGAATACAACAATAAATACCATACGAAAATACAGTGCAAAGTTGCTGTTTTAATCCAAAAAGTTTTTTTTTTCTCATTATGCACTGTGCTGCAGGAATTTTTTTTTATACTGCACACACACTGACCAGACCCATTCTTTCATATGCAGGCCTACCAGCTTTCACTAGATTTGAGGGCGCTAGAATTTAGGCGTACTAGTACATATGTCAAAAACCTTGGTGTGTAAGCCGTACTAGTATGGCCAAAACCCTGAAAGGGTTAATGTGGTCTTAGGAACTGAACTCAGTCATTGAGAAAAAGCTGTACACAATTCGCCTAAAATATAGTACAGCAATTCTAAAGGGCAACCAGATGTTATGGGCACATTTAAGTACACAGGGTTTCACCTAGCATAACCTAAGAAAGTTAAGAATTGTGATTAACTACCTTAAATTCTGGTTACTCAAGTAGCTTGACATCAACAAAGATGTGTGGCATGGCCCTACTGGGCATCCGAGCTGCTGGATGAAGTAGAGGACTTGGGTTCCTGGGCCGAGGTCAACTCAGGACAAGAGCCTTGAAGTATTCTATCATACATCTGTTTTACCCAGCAATACATACTTTATTCAGCCAATAGTAGGGCATCACTGCTAGGTCCAGTATCCAATTTTGGCAGTTTCTAGATGTGTCAGGGCCCTAGTCAGTCTGCAAGTTTAGCAGAAACATGGTATGACTCATAACTAAGTTTTATCTTTCTCTGCAGGCTGCTTCTCTTAATCCTCTGAACCCTTTCCATCAGGGAATTCAGCTCTGCCAACATTTCCTCTGGACTTAATCTTCCTTTGATAGTTCTGCCTGCAAGTCTTCAGAGGCCTTGCCAGCTGAACAATTTCCTTGACACTAAACAGAAAGCCTGTTAAATTATTCACCACATTAAGCTATAATTCTCTCCAATCTGCATTTATTGTTGATTTCAGCATATCCCCTGCACCACTGATGTGGGGCTAGGCAGCTGCAATGTTAAATGTATGACAGAACTTTAGAAGTCCCACTCATCTTTCACTACTGTAAGCAGTTTCTGCACTACTGTCCAGTGGTTGTACAAGGAAGATGGGAATTATAAACAATAATGGAGGAACACTGCAGTAGACATACTGGCCCATACTAGGCAGATACTTACCAAATCCAACCACTCTCAACCATGCAAGAGAAGTGCACCAGGCTTCAAGGCAGCAAAGGATCACTTCACTTTGCTCCTTTGTGGTACTGTGCCAGGCAATTTCACGTGTAAGCCCATGGTTATTTACCGCTCTAAGAATCCTTGTACTTTGAAAGGTGTAGATGAACACCTTACCAGTAA